GGGCAGAAGTCGGTATTTTGTGGAAGAGCACACTCAAGGGGCCAAAGAGCCGCATGTGGCTCGCGAGCCGCAGTTTGCAGACCATTGCTAAACCATTAATAAACATGAGATAGTTTGCACACCGGGGCTTATTTGGGTCCTACAGAGTCAGAAGGAGTTACCTGAAATTTTATAGGGAAGAGTGTAATCTGAGTTTTGTTTTCCTCTTTTAAAAACCATTCTTCTAAATTTAATTTTTCTCTAAAATCAATGAAAAAATCTCAACATATCCTCAGGGAAGGATTAAGAAAATGGAGTAATAGTAGAAATAATATATATGTTTTAGAAAAGGTCTCATGAATTCTTTGGCTGACATGTTTTATTTTCTCTTCAACTCCTTTCCAATTTAGAATATTTATGTGGGAAAAGAAAGGTGTTTCATATAAGGTAAGCTTGAAAGGTTTGTGTCAATGCTTTTTGATGTTCATACTCTAATAAAAATAAAGAAAAAAATTATCTCTGTTCCTCTCCCCTTTCTCCTGAACTCTCCATTTTACACCCTGGATCCTAAAAATTCTAGTTCAATGAGTGCCTCCATCGCTGTCCATACCTTCCAATGATATTTTTAGCTTTCTCTATTTCCCTGAAACTACTACGGAAACAGCACCCCAACCCTAAGCTCTCAGAGCAAGAGAACTAAATCACAATAGTGTTTGATGAAATTATGTTTGGATGAGTTGTTTGGTTTGTTCTTGATTTCATTCAGTGCTTTGTTTACTGAAAGCCTATTCTATTCCAAAGAGATGAACAAAATAGACACAACACAGAAGCAAGTCACTAGGGTCCTTTTAGTGCTTCCAGGCAGATAGCATGGGGAATGTAGACCAGGGTAGTGGGCTGTGTGAGTGAGCCTGATGGAGTAGGAGGCCACTGGCAAAGATCTGGAGGAAGACAACTCCAGGCTGAAGCAGTCCCCCATCCCCTGTTGTTCCACCCCAGCATGCTCTGCTGCTTTACATTGGTTATGTGGCCTCATAGGCATTTGATATACAATTTTGTAAATCTAACCTATTGCCCAGTTAAAGTTTAAGTCCTCTTTTAAGGGGACCTTGCTTAAAGCCCAAACTACTAAAAGAAGCAGGCTACTTGGGGTTGGTAGAAAGAAAAGGGGAGAGAGAGAGCATTTATGATGACACGTTTGGGGCAGCTATTTCACACTGACTCATTTTCAGCTGTTAACACCGAAATTGGTTCTCACATGTACGCCTGGTTCCTTTAATGATCTGAGTTGAGTGAAGACTCTACATTTCATATAATTTCTGGGCAGGCTCAGGTAATAAAAACCATCACTATGTACAAATTATAAAGCAGCTGTATCAAAACTCTACACATAACCTTTTTATACATTTGGTGTGTGAGTGTATGTGTTATGAAAGTCATCTAACTCATGGCATTCACATTTTGACCATAAAGACACAGTAATATTTTTGACACCATGATCCAGTACACACTATTTTACTACTTTTATGCTCTGCTATTTTGTATTCTCTGTTTATCTTAAATACAGGAAGTGGGCCACTTCCTGTATTTAATAACCCTCTATAAAGAGCACAATCCACAGTTGGAAAAACACCAGCAAAACCATTTCATTAGCCACCTTTGTGAATATGCATCTTGATTTAGTACTTCCATTTGATGTCTGATAATTGTCTTAGATTTTAAAAATATTTTTATTGATTTCAGAAAGAAAGGGAGAGGGAGAGGAAGCGAGAGAAACACCAATGATGAGAGAAAATCATCAATGGGTTGCCTCCTGCATGACCCACACCGGGGATTAAGCCTGCAGCCCGGCATGTGCCCTGACCTGGAATCGAACCGTGACCTCCTGGTTCATAGGTCGACAATGAACCACTGAGCCACACCGACCAGGCCTGTCTTAATTTTTTGATTTATGTATTCTAGTACATGGATGTCTTGAATGAGAATAGTCTGAATACATCTTAGATGGTTTTTTCCAAATTTGCTTATTAAACAAACTTCCCCACAACTTAATATTTACAACTCTGGCCGAAACCGGTTTGGCTCAGTGGATAGAGCGTCGGCCTGCGGACTGAAAGGTCCCAGGTTCGATTCCGGTCAAGGGCATGTACCTGGGTTGCGGGCACATCCCCAGTGGGAGATGTGCAGGAGGCAGCTGATCGATGTTTCTCTCCCATCGATGTTTCTAACTATCTATCTCTTTCCCTTCCTCTCTGTAAAAAATCAATAAAATATATTAAAAAAAAAATTTACAACTCTGGAATCTCCTAGTCATTTAATATATTGTGTGAATGGGGCTCTAGTGTTGCAAATAGACAAACGTGCTGTTCATTATTTAGAAATGATCTGCTTTTCACTTACTCATGTTATTCTTTTTGTAGCAAAGAGCCTCTGACCGGAACTTCACAAAATGGAACATCAGTGCGCTACCAACCACATGAGAATCTCTGCTTTGAGAACGATCTTTATAACGTTTATCAAGACCCATCGGTGCTAGGACCTTTAGGCCTTTGACTGCAGAAAGCACTGACCAGATCTTACCATGTCAGTCCTTTTAAGCTCCAGGATTATTTTTCTGTCAATATTTCATGGCATTCCAATGTGTCTGTGATGTTGGTTAGAGTATCTTTAGCTCATCAGTGTGAAGTCAAACCTCATTGGTAATTAGTCTTAATTTTTTATATTAAAATTGGCTCAATTTTTCTGGTCATAGCAGAGCCCTCTCCTAAATATGAACTGAACACTTTAGAATTGTATATTCTGTACAGACCTTATGAATCCTGTATCCATCAAGAATTCTCATTGCGTAGACATGAAATGATCCAATACGTTGGTTACTAAAGCTGTCACAAGGAGGGGAATAGGACTTAAAATCAGCAAATTCGATTTGGTACTTAAATGAATTCACTTGGAAGCATTTCATGATTAACTCTTGTGTGTGTGTGTTTTTTTTTAATCTTGCAATCAAAACATTACATTTCGTAAGTTTCTCCAAAGGTTTCAAATTATGGAGGCACAAGATTTTTATTTCCTTCATGGGGAAATAGTGTGATTTCACCATTAGATCTGTTTGTTCATGGCTCTGAAAATATGAGGTTTTAAGTGCTTAAGCACTTAAAAGGGGCCAGGGTGGGGCTTTTAAAAGAAGAAGCTAGGATGGTGAGTGGAGCAAGTAAATAGGTGGAGAAAATCAATGGCCATGTGATTTAACACATGTGTGCTACTTCTGCTACATCTGTGCCACATATAGACAACCATCAGGGATTCTGAACTAACTTTTAGAGTGATGCAGTACAGAGATAAATAAAAGGGCAAAAGAAAGGGAGAGGTTAGGGCAAAAGGCCTCTGCCTTAGAAAAGTAAGTGCAAATCTAAATCTGTTTGAGAGTGTTACTAGTTTCAACTGGAATTCTAAATTGTCCCAAAACCACTTTGATTATTAAAATTATTTTAGAAGGATGAATTTTTTTTTATATCATCAATTCCAATGCTGTTTCTTTTCCACAAATGAATTAAATTTTTTGGTTTGCCAAGAGAGCTAAAGCCAAAAAAGGTAAGGATATTTTTAGCCACCAGAAACTTTTTTTCTTCATATCAGAAACATTTCGACATGAATAGTTCACAAGGCTGGGTAGTAATTTCAATTTGAGTTAATTTTGAAATAATTCACACTTGATGTTCAGTGCTACCCACACCAAAGTGGCCTAGGAGGGCAGGATGCTTGTTTTTGAAGGCAACATTTTTTATATATAACTACAGAATTCTAGAAAATTATAGCACCTCTGAATAAAGGTTACAGTATATGGGCAAGTAATATTGTTGAGCATTGTCCACTGGGTTTCCCAAATAGGGTGAGATTAATATGGCTTATACATTTTTGTTCAAACCATAGCATTTTTCTTTTAAATTCAAGACAACATGCAGGAGGCAGCTTATGTATATTGCACATTGATGGTTCTCTCTTTTCCCTTCCTCCTCTAAAAATCAAACTATTCTTTTAGATGAACAAACGAATGAACAAATAAATAGGCAAGCTAGTGTGGCTGCAGCAAAGTGAGTGAGGAGGTTTGGAAAGAGATTAGCTGGAGACATGGGCACCCTCTCACGGGGGCTGAATGCAAAGGGCCCTATGAACACACCTGTTGAGAAGGGTCCCACTCTTAGGAAACAAAACACTTCATGTAAAGGGTTAAACATTCTATGCATCACCAAATTATGATACCATTGATTAACGTGCTATCTGGAAGTAAAGAGATAATTTGTCTTTTGCTCTCCCCCAATCAAAAGCTTTGGTCAGTTGGGTTTGAACAGCTTTGAGTGGTCGGGAGATACATTCCCCAGACTGTCTCTTTGACTCTTGATTACATCAGTTTTTCTGAGGAAATAGAAAAAAGTCATGGCTTCATCTAGAGCAATGGTTCTCAACCTTCCCAACCATAAAATTATTTTCATTGCTACTTCATAACTAATTTTGCTACTGTTATGATCGTAATGTAAATATCTGATATGCAGAGTGTATTTAGGCGACCCCTGTGAAAAGGTCGTTCGACCCCCAAAGGGGTTTCGACCCACAGGTTGAGAACTGCTGATCTAGAGAAAAAGTAATGGTAGCCACCAAAGTGTAAGGTGGTGCCTTATCGGCCTTGACTACTAAATGTCAGCGTGGTGTATGTGGGACTTAGAATACCTGGGAATCTAATTGTAAAGTTCCCCTAGGGCCTTTAGAGCTCTGACTTCAGAGTGTGGTGGTTATTGATGTCTTTACCCAATGTCCCCCGAGCCCTTTGTCACCCTAGCCTCCAGTGTAATCTAAAAAAACAAGATCTGCCCTGCTGCTGTGGCTCACTGCTTGAGTGTCCACCTATGAACCAGGAGGTCATGGTTCTATTCCTGGTCATGGCATAAGCCCAAATTGTGGGCTTGATCCCCAGTGTGGGGCATGCAGGAGGCAGCTGATCAATGATTCTCATTGACTAGAGGCCCAGCGCATGAAATTTGTGCATGGGTAGAGTCCTTAGTGGCTGCCGGCTGGGGCCTTCCTTCCATGCGGCACCTGGTGGTCAGCTCACATCATAGTGAGTGATCGAACTCCTGGTTGGTTGAACTCCCAAGGGGACACTTTGCATATTAGGCTTATGTATATATAGATAGATGTTTCTCACTTTCTCCCTCCCTCCCTTACTCTCCCTCTCTTGCTCCCTCCCTCTTCTCCTCTGAAATAAAAAATATAAGAAAAAATAATCAAAAACCAAGATCTGATTGTGTTCCAGGTAAACTGAAAATCCCCCCACTGCTTCCCAGTGGGTAAAAGGTCCTAGTCCATTATAAGCCCCTCACCGATTTCCCATTGTCTGCTTCATGCAAGCCTTCCCTGCCGTACTCTAGTAGAGACAAATGCCACAAATGCCCACTCTTACTCTGAAGCTCAACCCATCTTTGGGGAAAGTTTGTCTCCTGTATTTTCACTGGGAATATATTTAAGGTTCAGCCCAAATGTTGCCTCTTAAGCCTTGCTGGACCTCATCCCTCTAGCCAGAATTAATCTTCTCTTGTGAACACTTCTGTGGAGCCTTTTTTAGCCACTAGACAAATATGCCAGGCATGGTGCTATTGCCTAGCGTGGGTCATTCTGCATGAGGCCAGGGCCCTACCTAGCATGTGGGGCACATCTGGGTGAATTACAGACACACTCCCCTTCATTTTTCTGGCTGGCACAGCCCCTGAGCCAGGGCAAAGGCTTGTCAAATGGAGTCTGTCCAAACTACAAGCATAAATAGTGACTCTATAGTGACCCTATAACTTAGTGCTTTGTATTAGAGATGTGTGGGTTGAGGACGCTTTGTATACTGAGCTCTTTGATGGAAGCATCTGCTGTTTCTCAGCACCCAGCTTACACATTGCAAGTGCTTAGTACATACTTAAGAAAATTGGGGAATAAATTCAAAGAATGTTTCCTAGAACCTTTCTATGTGTGCTGGGGAAGAGGAGGTGGAGGAAGAGCTAAGAGTGTTTAAAACTTTTTATGAGATAGAAACCACTCTCTTCATATGACTAGCTGAGACCCGTGCTTTGCAGCCTTGGCTGTACATTAGAATCACCTGGGAAGTGTGGCCAACTACGCATGCCCAGACCAAGTCAATCAGAATCTCAGCTGTGGGGCCAGAAAGAGTCTCCCCCCCCCCCCCCCCCAAGGTGATTTCAATGTGTAGCTGAGAGGGAGAACCACTGACCTGGAAGGACTTGGCAAGGGAAGGTGAGAACTTGTGTCCTTGTTCTGTATGAAGAGAGCTCTGCAAAACATAAAAGGTACAGACTAAAACAATATCGACAGCGGGCTGACCCAGGGGACTAGATCTTCCCTGTGTCTGGCTTGCATGGCAACAGCATTATATTGGTGGCAGCCCTGGGAAGGAAAACATGGAGGCTGCCACGTGTTTGAAAGCTCAGGAAGCCAGCCCGCAGCTGTGTAGCTGACTGTCCCGGGCTTCCTGAGGGCTAAACGTTTTCTTCCACAAGTTGTAAAAATAAGCAAAGCAGAAAGTCCCTTTGGCCTGCGAGATTTGCTCTAAGACAGTGGTTCTCAACCTGTGGGTCGCGACCCCTTCGGAGGTCGAACGACCCTTTCACAGGGGTTGCCTAAGACCATCCTGCATATCAGATATTTGCATTACGATTCATAACAGTAACAACATTACAGTTATGAAGTAGCAACGAAAATAATTTTATGGTTGGGTCACAACATGAGGAACTGTATTTAAAGGGCCAGAAGGTTGAGAACCACTGCTAAGGTAACCTTCTTTGTGTTATACTATGGATTGCTGAGATGGAGTTTGCTCTGTCTGGCAAATGCTGAATCTGCTGAGCCTAAAAAAGTACTTGGAGGATGACAATTGGATAGTGCAAGATGAAGATACAAGGAGGGGCATCGTAATGTTAGCAGTAATTTTTTTAAAGGCCAGAAGTCACTGCAGGCCTGCACTCAATTCTAGAACTCTTCCTGGTGGCTGGAAAGGACTTCTTAGAGAGAGGACAGTAAACTCGGCCCAGTCAGGGGCAGGAAGTTGGCAGAGTGACCCTAGCAAATGCCCAGTGAGAGAGCCCTGGTCAGAATTTAGCTGAAAAAAAAAATGTTTTTTAGCAGCTTTATTGAGAGATAATTCACATACCACATGCTATTTCACAAATATAAGCCCTGAGCCCATAGTTAATTGAGTCTGCCTTACACTTGAATATGGGCATTTGCTGGTTGTTATTAGTTTTTATGTGGGCAAACATATGAAGGGCAAATATCAAGTTCATGAAACATAGTTTGTAGTGGAACAATCTGGAGCTTAGGGACTTGTATTCTCATTTGAAATCCTGTGTTTTGGGCAAATCAAGCTTCTCCGGTCTCAGTTTCTCTGTCTCTAAATGAAGAGGTTGGCAGTGATCTCTTGGGTAACTGCTAGCTCTGTGATGCTCGGCAAGTGCACACACTGAACAAGCTGGAGGTTTGTATTCAATGTATCGGAGCCCTAGCTGGTTTGGCTCAGTGGATACAGCATAGGCCTGCGAACTGAAGGGTCCCAAGTTCAATTTTGGTCAAGGGCACATGCCAGGTTGTGGGCTTGATCCCCAGTGTGGGGCATGCAGGAGGAGGCCGATCAATGATTCTCTCTTATCATTGACGTTTCTCTCTTTCTCTCCCTTCCTCTCTGAAACAAATAAAAATATATTGAAAAATGCATTTGATGGCACAAAGGTGGGTGACAGGAAAATGCAGGAAGGAAAGACAGAGATAGACCACGGGTTTGGAGAAACTCTTCAGTCTGTCATCTCACTTGCCTTTTGTAAAGAACCCTTGGCGTCTAAGTTTCTAAGACAAAAGTCACTCTCCCAGGGCTGAGACTGACAAAGAGAGAGAAAAAACAACAACAACAACAAATAAAACACCAGTTGGTTGTGCCCCCAGGAAGTGAACCCACAACCTGGGTATGTGCCCTGAATGGGAATGGAACCCATGGCCCTTAGGTGCATGGATGACACTCCAACCAATTAGCAACACTAGCCAGGCCCCAGCTTTATTTCTGAGTTTGTATCGTCTTCTTCGAAAACTGTCAGATGTGTCAGCTGACTGACCTTCAGGTTCTGCCTGCAGCTACCCAGCATCCTTTTTCCATTTTCTGAAGGTAATTAGCTCACAAAACGATTGAACCATGACCTACCCAGTATTCAGACATGTTATTACATTACCTCTGCATTCCAGCCAACTGGTTACTCAACTCAGAGACTGATAATCAGGGCTTTAGATCGCAAATGAGCTCCTCTGTCAAGTAGGAATTCTTAATGTGGGGTCTCCTGAATTCCAGGAATTTCAGTCCCATGATGTGTCCACGAAGCTCCTGAGAAGGGCAGGGGCGGGAGCGGGGGAGAGGGGGAGGGACAGGGGGAATTCCGTGCTGAGCTATATGCATGCCTTTTTGGTACAGAAAGTCTAAAGGGGCCACTGATTTTCAAAGAGAAGGTTGACTCATAAAAGGTGAAGAAACTCCTGGAGTAGACTAGATGGCCTTGAAGGTTTCCTTTGAGTCTCAACGTTCAAGCTTCTTTGAATGAAGGCTCTCCTACAGATACCAACTTACATTCTCCTTCTTCAGCAAAGAAGCCGGTCCAGCAAGCCGTGGTGTGGCAGGAGCTCCTGGGGAAAAAGGAAGTGCATTTGTGTACGTTGTCAAGTTCTGCTTGGAGTGAACTCAGAGGGAAACGTCTCTGACCAACTTCTCCATTCAAGGAGAGAACCAGGGCCATGTTTTCACAGAAGAAGAAGCAGTGACTGGGATGCCTATTCCGTTTCCTGGTGGAAGGAAGGCAAAGGGCTGCAGCAATCTGTACTAGTCAGCCTCAGATCCCTTGGTGGGAGACAGTGGTCCCTAAGCTCCCATTCCAAGACTGTGGAGACTAGCTCTGCCTTCCTTATTTGTTGCCTCTGTGTGAGACATAAGACAAATTTACTAAATATCTTTGCAATGAAAATCTTAAATACCTAGAAAGGTAGCTTTCTGGAAAGCCTTTCCATTGAAGTACTCAGACAGAACTCTGTCACCTCACTTCTTTTTTTAAAAAAAAAAAAATATATATATATATATATATTTTGTTGATATTTTACAGCGAGGAAGGGAGAGGGATAGAGAGTTAGACAGATCAATGAGAGAGGAACATCGATCAGCTGCCTCCTGCACACCCCCCACTGGGGATATGCCCGAAACCAAGGTACATGCCCTTGACTGGAATCGAACCTGGGACCTTTCAGTCTGCAGGCCGATGCTCTATCCACTGAGCCAAACTGGTCAGGGTAGTCACCTCACTTCTTGAAGAACTCACAGACCCTAAGCTCAATCTGTGTTGCTATGTAGGCAAAAGTGGCTGTTGTTTCTGCATCATCTCCCATGTCAGGCTCTTGGAAGT